AGGAAGGGGTATTCTGTGAGTTTGGTCCAAAACCACACTTGCTTTTCGACTGCTTTGTCCATTCTATCAGTCCAGCTCATTTCTCAGAAAACAATACTTGAAAAATATCTGTCTACTTTTTAATTGCTAGCCTGTTTCATCTTTTTAATATAAATGTTGGGGGGAAATTGGTGACCGTATCTTTTTTTTATGGTGTTGTGGCATTGGTTTGATTCTGTGTCATTTGAAATCATAGAATCCTAGAGTTGGAAGAGACCTCGTGGGCCATCCAGTCCAACCCTATTCTGCCAGGAAACAGGAAAATCACATTCAAAGCACCCCCAACAGATGGCCATCCAGCCTCTGTTTCAAAGCCTCCAAAGAAAGAGACTCTACCACATTCCAAGGCAGAGAGTTCCACTCCTGAACAGCACTCACAGTCAGGAAGTTCTTCCTTATGTTCAGGTGGAATCTTCTTTCCTTCCTCTAGTTTGAAACCATTGTTCCGTGTCCTAGTCTTCAGGGCAGCAGAAAACAAACCTGCTCCCTCCTCCCTATGACTTCCCCTCACCTTTTGATACATGGCCCTCATCATGTCTCTTCTCAGCCTTCTCTTGTGCAGGCTAAACATGTCCAGCAATTTAAGCCGCTCCTCATAGGGCTTGTTCTCCAGACCCTTAATCATTTGAGTTGCCCTCCTCTGAACACATTCCAGCTTAGAATCAATATCTCTCTTCAATTGCGGTTCCCAGAATTGGACACAGTGTGATTCCAGGTGCAATTTGACTAAGGCAGAATAGAGGGGTAGCATGAATTCCCTGGATCTAGGCACTAGACTACTATTGATACAGGCCAAAATTTGGCCAATCATCTCTCTAAACTGTTAATTTATTTATTTTATTTATTATTTGAATTTATATGTTGCCACTCCCCTGGGGCTCGGAGCGGCTTACAAGAATGGCTAAAATCTAACAAAATTTAAAAACAATTTAAAACAATTTAAAAACAGCAATATCAAACATTAAAAGCCTGTTGAAACAGGTATGTCTTACATGCCCTGCGGAAAGCTGGTATCATTAAGATAATTTTCAAAAATGTTTTCAAAAAGGCAGCCTCTAGTATAGTACATAACAAAAGGGCTAATACATGTTCTTTTCACGTTCTTGGCCTGAAGCCTTGCAGATGATGTTGGTTCATTTGAGAAGGGAGAGAGATTATATTATATGCTCTGGCCATTGCTTTTATTATGCTGATGATGTTGGCAACAAAGAGAGTAGTTTTTAACCACCATTGCATCTAGACAGCGTTGCTCAGAGGATTATTTGGATTCTTCAGATATTGACATCATCTTATTGTTCTCCAAAGCATTACAGTGTTCCCTCACTTATCGCGGATGTTATGTTACAGGACCACTCGCGAAAAGTGAAAATCTGTGAAAGTAGGGATGCTATATATGTATATAGGGTTCCGAGGGTGAGGCAGAAGCGAGGAGAGATTTAAAGGCACTGCACACCTCTCTTTTTTTTGCTAGCTATCTCTGCTTTGCTTTGCAATCTCTCTTGATTGGCTGCCTCTCTCCTGAGGGGGAGGGTGAAACACACTCCATCGTTGCCAGGAGCCGTGATTAGAACACCACTCTGGGCAACGACAACCATTCATAAACTGGGAGGCAAAAACCTGCGAAACAGCAAGTCCGCAAAAAGTGAACTGCGAAGTAGCGAGGGAACACTGTACATTCCATACTTGTGTTGTGTTGGATACAACAGTGGCTTCTGTGAAGTGATTGAAAGTTGAAAGTTGTCTTAGGAGTCAAAGTGTCATTCATCCATCCCAGAGTGGACATGATACTGGGAGTGGAGTATATATCCCTTGAATATTGTTGCGGCATCATAGACGTGTCAAGTTACCCAAGGCTCATCTACTCCAGCCCCTGCCATTGCAGGAATTACTTTCAATACATATAGAGAACCAAAGCAAAAAACCTTGTTTCTAAGTTTCATGTGCCTTTTGTCTTCCTGCATTGTACTTGAAAGTGTTCAGTTTTCTAGACCATTGTTAACTGACCTTGGCATCAATCGCATTGTGAATATGAAATACTTCTGTTTCGTAGTTCTCTTGTACTGAAGATGACCTCCACTCTACCTGAATGTTTGCGAAGTATGACTGGTGTTAATGCAAAGCCAGGAATCTTGAGGATTTCCTCTGGCAGGTTTAAATTGTAGTGTTCAGGCTCTCAGAGACTCTAGAAAGGCTGTTAGCAATTGGCAGTGTAGCTACAATTTTCAAGCAAAGATCTCCATTTCAGTTTCATTTCTCATGCAATTGTCAAAAAATTCTTATAATTTTGTTTCATTATTACTATTGCAGTAGCTCTCTGCATTTCTTTATGGTTCTCTTGTGTGGTGTATCATGTTGGTATCATGTAACAGTGAGTCCCAATGAGCTGTTTTCTCCAAGATAATCATAATCATTCTGGTGCCATTCAGTTTCTGTCCCTGGTGCTGCAGATTAGTGTTGCTGTTTTGTGCAGATTTTTTCTAAGTTACTTTGAGAGCCAGCCTTTCAGGGTCACAAAACAAGGTATAAGCATCCCAAGCAAATATAAACCATTCCCTTATCTTAAAATGTGACTAACTGCATTGACTCTTTGCATGGGTTGGTTTTGCATATTCACATGTATGTGTATGGCAGGAGATTGGACTACATGGCTCATGTGGTCTCTTCCAACTGTGATTCATTGAACCTGTCTGTAGAATGTTCTACAGCTCTGCCCAACCTTGAAGCTAAGTTGCTGGAAATCCTTTGGCTTGAGAATGTAGGACTATTTGGCCATGTAAGCAAGAGGTTCTTATCCTGGGATTCATGAAGCCTGAAGATATCCATAGAAGGGTTTGTACACTGAGGGCAAAACATATTTTGTTTTCCATTTCCTTTGGTAAATATGAACTTTGTCTATCACAGTGAATGTTAAGGTTAAAAAATGCACATATTTTTGAGAACGAACTTGATTGGGGGTTTCTTGGTTCAGACTGTCACGTGAGAAGGAAAGAAACATTTGGTGCAATCAAACAAATGATATGCAAAATATTGTGTGTATATATGCATATTTATCTGGGACTGCTTTCATCAGGTTTTCAAAGGGATCAATGACATCCCATTCTCAAAGTTGAGAACCACTAGTCTTGGTTAGCCATTCTTTCAGTAACTAGCAAAAGTATACCAGACTGTCTGGTAGAGTACTTCCACATCACCTGCTTACCTGTTTTATTCAATCAGAGCTTGGAAAAGGTGATTTCTTTGGAAGGAGGAGGCTTTTATGACACCCCAACCAGCACGGTGACCGCACCAAGTTTAACACAAGGTTTGGGAAGCTATGGTCAGGACAGGAAACTGGTCCAAGATGCGTTCTGTCTGCAGATGGCAGAATTTAGGCCTGGAGCTTTCTGCAACTCAACCATGGGCCTTTCCTGGTAATGTTGAGACATACCGTATTACTTCGAGTCTAATGCGCCACTGAATCTAATGCTCACATCAATTTGCAAAACCCTGAAACCAAAAAAGTATTTGCTGGTGAAGGTAATGCGCAACGGCAAAAAGTACATTCTTTTTTTTTACCCAAATGGTGTGCATTATAGTTGCTGCCTGCTTAGGATTCTTTCTTCAAAAAAAGAAGTGTTAGGACATCAAATCTTTTAGCAATTGAAAAGAAAATCTTGGAGTGTATCTCTGTTGCAGAATAAATCCACTTTAACTGCCCTGGTTCAATGTTATGAAATCATGTTGTTTTGCAAGGTCTTGAGTGTCCTCTGCCAAAGAAGGCTGATGCCTCACTAAACTACAAATCCCAGCATTGCACAGCATTGAGTTCCAGTCATTCAGTGAGAGAGAAGAGAAGAGTTTGGGAAGCAGCTTCCCCTTTTGCTTCGACTCAGCACTGAGATGACTGTATTGCACAAATCTTACGCACACCCCACTTTTGGCGAGGCAAGGCAATTTAACAAAAAAAAAGATGAGCATTAGATTTGAGCAAATATGGTAATTTGGGACACAGAGTAATAAAACAGTAGCTCTTATTCAGATCATTTAAATCAGGCATCCTTAAACTGCGGCCCTCCAGCTGTTTGGTCCTCCAACTCCCAGAAGCCCTAAAGAGCTTGTTCAATTGTCAGGAATTCTGGGAGTTGAAGGCCCAAACAGCTGGAGGGTTGTACTTTGAGGATGCCTGGTTAAATGAACTTTCTTGTTTGTTTAGAAGATAACTCTGTTGTGTGTTCCTGTATGGCCGAATGGAGTTAGACTGGATGGCCCTTGATGTGTCATCCCACTCTGGTAGAAGGAAGAAGCAATAGAGAACCAGTGTATTGTGTGTATTGTTTCACATTAAGCTCCTGTAGTTCAGTTCAGAATTCTGATATTTGTCTATGTCAGGCATGGGCCAACTTCGGCCCTCCTTCCAGGTGTTTTGGACTTCAACTCCCACAATTCCTAACATAGGCAAACTTCAGCCCTCCAGGTGTTCTGGACTCCCAACTTCCACCATTTCTAACGACCTTATCAGCTGTTAGGAATTGTGGGTGTTGAAGTCCAAAACACCTGGAGGGAGGGCTGAAGTTGTCTTGTGCCTGTTCTATGGCAACCAACAGCGGTGGCTGAGTGTGTGAAGGAAAGCCGCTCAGCACATGGGCCCAGGCACATGTTCTGGGAATTGGCCCTGGTCCTGAAACGCACGCACTCCCCGGCTTAGCCCTCTTAATGTCTTGCTTTTTCGGGACGGAAGATGGGTACCAGGCGACAGGAACGGATTTGACTGGGATGAGGGGCAGACAAGCTCTCCCCCCTTCCAAAGCCTGATATTGTTGTTTGTGTTCTCGGCTTGGGCAAGCTCCTACTCCGGATAAACTGGGCAAAGCTGGCTGATTGGCTTATGGGGCTGGGTTGGGGCTGCTTGGGCCCGACCCCCATGTCAGGCCTTGTTAGAGGCAAACCCCTCTCCTCCCTACATTGGGGGAATGTCTCGTCTCAGTAGCTCCCAGATCGGCAGCCTCTGCGCTCTCTGTTGATCTCCCAGGTGCCCTTAATCGGATGTGGCATTGGGAAAGGCAAGGATAAGCTCGGTACCGCCGTTGGTTTCCTTCCTGCTCTTCTTCGCACTTAGTGCTGGTCTGTCGGAGGAGGGGGATTCCACCCGGAAGGAAGCGTGCCTCTTTTGGGAAGTCCGAAGAGCCCCCTTCATGGGACCGGCTGGCCTTCTTTCTCGTATCCTTCTGTAAGTGCTGCTTGCGATGGAGGGGAGAGAAATGTTGTCGCAATTGCTTCATAACAGATCGGTTTATTTTTTTCTAGAAATACTCTTCCAGGCATAATTAACTATAACACTTGAAATGTAGTAATTACGCATGAAAACTACAAAAGAAGGCCAAAATAGGTGCTTAATTATATGTTTAGATTCATTAAATCTCCCCATTCATCTTTTCCCCATGTTGTTATTCCTACAGTGATTTATTTCTCTATGGGGAGGGCTCCTCCTTCTCTTGGCCCCACTCTCCCCATGCATGTGTTTTCTGCAATTTGCAATATTGTTTGTGAAACATCAGGCAGGTCTTATTTTGACATGCCACCTCTTTGTGCGGCCTCCCTTCTGTTCTCCACAAATTTCACAAACCACTGAACCCAAGCCTTTGAATAATGCTCTATGTGTTGTTTTGGTTCTGTTCATTTTCGCAGCCACGTGCAAACCGTAAATCAGCATAGGAACTGCAGTGAGGCAGGCAGGTAATTACTTAGAGCCAATAAAGCTTTACCTGTCGGCTCTCCTGTTGCCATAGAGTGGATTGTGATTAAAACATCATTGGGGTGAGCACAGTCCTGAACTTGGTTCTCAAGAATGGATATGAACCTCACAATGTGTAAAAGATGGGAGCAAACAATATTTATACTAGGTTACACATTTTGAAAAAAAAATCTGTTCCTGAGTTGAATGTTTAATTGTGCAGCCTTACTTTGAAGGTAGTTGTTCTACTCCAGAAGCTTCATTGTTTTTGTGACTGCCACAAGCCCTTCCACAGAAACAAAACTTTTATGGTTTAATTAACTTTCCCCATGTTTTTATGATACAGACATTTATTTATTTATTTATTTATTTATTTATTTATTTATTTATTTATTTATTTATGATATTTCTATCCCGCCTTTCTCAAGCCTGAAGGTGACTTAAGGCGACTTACAAATTGGCAGCCATTCAATGCCATAACAATCCACAATATACAAATTTAAAAACAACATTATAAAATCAATACAAAAGCCATTAAAACCATATAATAACCAATGTCTTCCTGTTAATCTCTTTTTCCAGTAGCATTGTCTAAGCCAGTGGTTCTCAACCTTCCTAATGCTGCGACCCCTTAATGCAGTTCCTCATATTGTGGTGACCCCCAAGCATAAAATTATTTTCATTGCTACTTCATAACTATAATGTTGCTACTGTTATGAATTGTAATGTAAATATGTGATATGCAGGATGTATTTTCATTCACTGGACGAAATTTGGCACAAATACTCAATACGCCCAAATTTGAATACTGGTGGGGTTGGGGAGGGATTGATTTTGTCATTTGGGAGCTGTAGTTGCTGGGATTTATAGTTAACTTACAATCAAATCATTCTGAACTCCACCAAACTTGGCACACAGAACTCCCATGACCAACAGAACATACTGGAAGGGTTTGGTGGACATTGACCTTGAGTTTTGGAGTTGTAGTTCACCAACATCCAGAGAGCATTGTGGACTCAAAAATGACACCTCTGGACCAAAGTTGGCACAAATATTTAATATGCCCAAATGTGAACACTGGTGGAGTTTGGGGAAAATAAACCTTGACATTTGGGAGTTGTAGTTGCTGGGACTTATTGTTCACCTACAGTCAAAGAGCATTCAGAACCCCACCAATGATAGAATTGGGCTATACTTCCCACACAGAACCCCCATGACCAACAGAAAATATTGTGTTTTCTGATGGTCTTTGGTGACCCTCTGATACCCCCCTGCGACCCCCAGGGTTGAGAAATTTCTCAGCCCCCGGGTTGAGAAATGCTGGTTTGAGCCATTCCATGTTTCAACTTACATAATTCCATGTTTGTCTATTGCACTGCATTTACAAAGGCTTGTTCAAAGAGCCAGGTTTTTCCTTTTTTGGAAGGTCAGGAGGGAGGGGGCTGATCTAATATCCCTAGGGAGGGAGTTCCACAGCCGAGTGGCCACCACTGAGAAGGCCCTGCCTCTCATCCCCACCAGACGTGCTTCGAGGAAGGCGGAATCGAGAGCAGGGCCTCCCCAGACCTTAAATTCCTAGATGGTTCATAGGGAAAGATATGTTCAGACAGGTAAGCTGGGCCGGAACCATTTAGGGCTTTATAGGCTAAAGCCAGCACTTTGAATTGTGCACGGTAGCAAAGTTAAGAAATGGCATTGTAAATTGTGTTACATAGTGTTATTTCTTCTATAGCAAAGACCTTGTTCGTTGTTATATGCATTGTGCCTAAGATGGGATTGATTTTAAAAATCTGGAACAGGAGCTGAAAGAATATTGATGCAGGCGCAACGTGGCTTTTTCTTAACTGTCGTTAATGGCCTGAGTAGTGGGACCACGTGCTTCCATTTCTCCTTGCCCTCATCATATTCAAAAGTTATAACAAACCTGTTGAAAGTAATGAGTGTTTGCTTCTCATGGGACGTTTCCCCTAAAATTCTTGGGCTGGATCTACACTGCCATATAATGTAGTTAGGAATGGCCATATGTAGAGCCATATAGCACAGTTCTGTGCAGTTAAACTGCATTATATGAGTCTCCCCTTGACTATATAATGTAGTTCCAAACTGTATTATATGGCAGTGTAGATTTGGTCTTGGTTTAGAATCATTCCTAATTAACATTATGTTTAACACAGGCTTCAGCTTTAACCATGGCTTAGGTTATTGAGTAGAACATATATGGGGAAGAATTATTAAGGAACAATCTGTATTTGGTCTTTTCTGTAGATTGCTTCTCACTGACCTTGGTTTATCCTGAGTTTCAACTGTGTATTCACATTCTGCAGTGATTTTTTTTAAACCCTGAAAATAGCAGTTCATGCCCTTAAACTGTATGTGTGACAAACCTTGCAATACAGTGAGGTGTAGCAACCCGTTAAATCAACAGAAGGAAATGTCAATGCTACTGTCTTTTTTAGAATACTGAAACAGTAGGAGCAACAAAATAAAAGTCTTCTGGATCCTATAGCAGTTTTGAAGTTCCCAGAAGAATTACAATTACCTATACAAATGTCTGTAAAATGTAGAGTGCCAATGTGACGAAACACATGTCACATTAGTCTACTTGTCAGGGAGATTAAATGAGCGACCCTGTGTTTCCTCCATTGTCATGTGTGAAATGGCCTTGAGGATATGTCATTGCTGACTTAATCCTCATTTCCGTCCCACTCACTCTGACTGCCGGCTGCAAAAATTTTAGTATTTTAAAACTTGTTTTGTTTTGTTTAGATTCTTGCTCTGTTTCTTCCCAATGTAAGTTGTGAAATTGTATATTTGTTCTGTTATTGTTTAATTTTTGATAATGTGTTATTATTTCTGGTGTAGATGTGGTTATGTTTCAGGTCTGGGTGGGTTGGGTTATTTGTCCTGGTCTAGTTTTTACAGCATTGAATTTTTGCCGATATTTGTTGATAACTGCCCTGAGTCCCCTTGTGGAGATAGGGCAGGATATAAATAAATACATTATTATTATTATTAATAATAATAACTACTTACTTACTTAGACGATCCCTCGTTGACCGAGTATGATGGATCCATAGGTAACTGTGGAGCCCTATTCTTGATTCGCGTATTCTCCCACAGTGAGGGCAACGGTTTCCAGGTAGAAGTTGGTCCTGGTCAGGGTTGGCTTGACACACCTTCTTCCTCTTGGCATGTTTCTCCCTTTTGCCTTCCATTTGTGCCTCTTCAAATTCCGCAGCACTGCTGGTCACAGCTGACCTCCAGTTAGATGCTGGAGGGCCAGGGCTTCCCAGTTCTCAGTGTCTATGCCACAGTTTTAAAGGTTGGCTTCAAGCCCATCTTTAAATCTCTTTTCCTGTCCACCAACATTCTGTTTTCCATTTTTGAATTGGGAGTAACTGCTTTGGGGAATTGTGATCGGGTTTGTGGCCAGTGCAGCAGAGTTCATGGCGTAGGAGCATCGCTTCAATGCTGGTGGTCTTCGCTTCTTCTTCCAGCACACTGACATTTGTTCGCCTGTCTTCCCAAGAGATTTGTAGGATTTTTTGGAGGCAACACTGATGGAATCGTTCCAGGGGTTGTGTGTGACTTCTTTAGATAGTCCATGTTTCTCAGGTGTATAACAGGGTTGGGAGGAGAATGGCTTAATAAACAATCACCTTGGTATTCCTACGGATGCCCCAATCCTCAAACACTCCCTGCTTCATTTGGAAAAATGCTGCACTTGCAGAGCTCAAGCGGTGTTGTATTTTAGTGTCACTGTTGACTTTTGTGGAGAAGTGGCTGCCAAAGTAGTGGAAATGGTCAACATTTTCTAATATTACACCATTAAACTGTACTTCTGGCATTACAGAAGGATTGGCTGGTCATTGCTGGAAGAGCACTTTGGTTTCCTTGATGTACAGTGAGAGGCCCGGCTTCTCGTATGCTTCTGCAAAGGTATTTAGAGTGTCTTGTAGGTCTTCCTCTGAATGCACACAGACTACGTTATTATCAGCATATTGAAATTCTGTAACAGATGTTGATGTGACCTTGGTTTTGGCTTTCAGTCTGATGAGGTTAAATAGCTTGCTTTATTATTATTATTATTATTATTATTATTATTATTATTATTATTATTATTATTAGAAGGAGACAGTGTGATGCCATTGCCACATTGTTGGATTTGTAGGATGAAGCCCTGAGTTCAAAGTCCACCTCAGATGATCAGTTCATTGGGTTATAAATATTAATTCCTAATTAGTTCTATCATAAAAATGTAGAAAAAGTTTATGAAACCGCAAAAACTTGGTCTTTGCAGGAGGGACATCCTGCTATAGCACAGTGTGCTCTAGTTTTTCAAATAATATCTCATCAACGAGTCTCAACGAATTCAACTTAGTTTGTGGCAGCTACAAAAATGAGGTTTTTGGAGTAGAACAACTACTTTTAAAGTCAGAACCGCACAATTAAACAGGAAATAACTCTTTCAAACCAGGAACAGAATATTGATTGTTTCCTTAGTACGGAGCAGGAGTGGGCCTCTTCCAAGCAAGTCCTTTAGCAGCTAGATTATATGTATACATTTAAATCAGGCATGGGCAAACTTTGGCCCACTGGGTGTTTTGGACCATAACTCCCACAATTCCTAACAGCCTCAGTCCTCTTCCTTTTCTCTTTCCTTTTCTGATTAAGCAGCTGAGGGGGGAAAGGAAGGCGCCTGAGGCTGTTAGGAATTTTGGGAGTTGAAGTTCAAACCACCTGGAGGAAGGGCTGAAGTTTGCCCATGCCTGATTTAAAGGTATGCGATGAAGCATTTCTCAGCTGTTTTAGGGGCATCTTTGAATGCAACCTGTAAGCATCTCATCCTTGGCTAGAGCCTTATTTGGCTGTCTCCTTGTGCCACTTCCTTCTCATTTCATTTTAAGATTGAATGTGTCAGCGTCCTGTCTTCTTTCCCATTCCCTTCCCTACAATAAATCTTAATGAACCTGCCTATTTTTTTAACTCAATAATTAGGGATCTTGCAACACTTTTCCTGACTTGGAGAGCTCTGTTCATTTGGGAAACTCCTAGGCAATGCGTTTTGTAGCCCCGGGGATGCTTTTTGTCCAGGCAGAGCAGATTTCCTGGGACACGTGGCCTGGAAAAGAGCCCTGCGTTACTCAGGGTATTTGAGACTTGCAGCTTAGCTTGGGTTATCCTGCATCTATTTATAGATGCTCTTGCACCCAGCTTTCTTTCCCCCTAGGTAAAGCTTTTCTGAGCCCTGCTGGCAAGCTTCATGTCCCCCTCCTTGTAAAGCAACCCTTGCATGTTCAGCAATGGATCCAGGCTTCCTCTCTACAGGAGGGTTGCCTGGCAGGAACACATTTTGCCCTGGCAGAGCTGCTGGCCTGGCACGCAGCAGGCACCTCACTTTGCTCAATGGGCAGGGCGTCAATAAGGACAGCTGTTTTTCTTTCCCTTTCCATTTAGCAAGAAGAGTGAGAGGCTTTGTCTTCCTCATTTCGGCAGGAGCATTGTAGGAACCGTTTTTGGCTTAATGATCTCTCCAAAATTAGGGTGCGCATGAGATCCGCATGATACAGTCATCTTAGTGTTGAAGCTGCTTCAGGAGTTGCACCTGGAGTCTCTTTGAGCAACACCATCTCTCATTTTATGCTATATGCAATTCTGCGATTTGTAGTGTGGTGAGGCATCAGCATTCTTTGGCATGGAAGGCTCAAGGCCTTGTCAAACTGCATCCCCCATGATTCCATAGCATTGAACCAAGGCAGTTAAAGTACATTCATTCTACATTCATGCACCCCAAGGTTTTCCTTTCCCTCACTGGAATCTTTGGTATTCTAACACTTTTGTTAATGAAGGAGTTCTAATTAGGTAGCCAATGTAATGTGCACCTTTTTTGGCCAAAAAGAGTACATTTTTTGCTGTTTCACATGACATTTCTCAGCAAATACTTTTCTGGTTTCAGAGTTTTGATAATTGAGGTTCACCTTGGATTTTAAGATTCAATAGTGCAATAGACTCGAGTCAGTATGGGTATTTTTATATGGCAGAGCAACAGTAGGCTCAAAAGATTTCCTCGCCTTGGTTTTCTTGGTGAAAGCTGGGCTTCCTAATTACTTCTTTGTAAAAAAAAAACAACCCTAAAAAAGCTTCAGAGCTTGCAAATGGCTTGTTAAAATCAATGTAATATTAAACTGTTGGTGGGGGAGAGATTTTAACGAAGTTGGTTTGCTAATTTGTTGAGACATTAAATGACTGAACATGGGCCATTATGAATTAAAGTAACAGGAATGATTAATTGCTACTTGAAAGTAATATCGTTGGCGTTGAACTGCTAAAAGGATGGATTTTAACATTGTTGTTGAAAATATTAATGCCTTAGACACAGTAAGTTAATATTTGGTGAATGTTTTGCAATTTTTGCAAACACACATCTTGGTGAATATAAACCTGGACCTATCAACAATATAAAGCAGGCACCATTGTACAGCAAGTGGTTGTCTGAGCAAAAAGAGACAACATTTTTGCAAATCAGATGACTTGGACTGAAGCTGTCTGCAACTATGTCACAATTATAACCGTTGAGTACCACCCTAAGTAGTGTGGCTTGGGTTTGCACTTTGGCGAGGTTCTCAGAATTAGAGAGCTCTATCTAGTGCATTCCCAAAGATATTCCCAATTCCACGGGACGAAGCTATGACCAGGTGGCAGTGAACCACTATGACCATGCAGCTGTGGTCAAGTCTACATAGGGACCACCAAATGCAGCACCCAAACATAAATCAAGGAACATGAAAGGCACTGCAGACTACTTCAACCAGAGAAGTCAGCCATGACAGAGCACCTGATGAACCTAGCTGGACATAGCATAATTCAGTAGCTGCTAGAAATTACAGCATAATCTTTTTGTGTATATAATCAATAGTAATATTTGTTAAGAATAAGAAGAATTGAATTCCGTGTGTAGAATTGCAGTCTTTCATAATTGAGCCCTTCTCTGTGCATGCAGAGCAAGTAGACTGGTGAAAACAAGGTTGTGTTAATACTGTTCATAGGGCCACTTTTGAAAGGCAAGTTTTAATCCCTTCAATGCTGGTCATTGGGTTGTACATGGGGCAGACAATTTGATTTCTGAAGCAATAAATTGTTTGTATACACTTGAGGTAAAGTGTGTGCTTCACTTTACCTTCCCTTAAATATCAGACCTTTGAGTCCGCTTTGGACAGGCCTGTAGCCAGGATTTTGTTTTGGGGGGGGGGGGGCTGAGTTTGAGTGAAAGAGGGTCTACCCTAGCAAACCTTTTGTATCGTTACCCCAATACCCCCATGCATATGGGATATATTGAGCATGGTGATAAGATCATGATATGAATAAACATAACAGTTTAAATAATGTACCAGTAAGGCCTTCTCGCGGACCACCATGAGAATTTCGGGGGTGGGGCTGAAGCCCCCCAAGGCCCCCCCCCCCCCCCCCCGGGCTACATGCCTGGCTTTGGAGTCATCCCATTCAACTTAGTGGGATGCTCTAAGGCTGCAAGTGGTCAAATTGGGATAGTCAGGACTTTGCCTCCTTTTGAAATTTGGGTCCCAGGGAAACCTGAGACCTTCTTCAGGCTTCTTTCAATTTCTAAATATGAAACAATTCCTTTCCACCACCAGTAAATAAATCTTCTTCTTTTGCTAATGGAATGCAGGGAAATACTTCCTCATCCAAATGCCATGGCCCCTTCATATCCACTGGCATGTATTTGGAAGTCCCATTATCTATACAGTGGCATGATAAAGTAGTGCCTGTATCAAACCAAGGTTTCCATGCTGCTGTGTATAGTCAAATCCATAGATACATGGTTCCACAGGAATCTGGCTTGCAATGTAACAATATTATGCCAGTCTATGATCACCACTCATCTCTGATTGTCATGAGGGCATCTAACAATACTTTTTGAGTTTGGTCCCACGATTTGTTTAATGTTGAGGTGACAACTTGGCCTGTGCTCCCATCCTCAACCAACATGACAAGAGAAACAAACAGCTGGTTTGTTCTCTGTTTTGTTGAGGAACAAAACTTCAGGTCAGTGTCTGTGGTTAGTGTAGCTTCTCTTGTTGCATGGACCAGGCCCACTATGTGATTATTTTTTGTTATCATGCTCTGTACTACATGGCATAGATGTTTCAATTTTCCCCTCTCCCTATAGTTCATGCCTTTCTGTCTTATTTCTAAATCCTGGTTATAGTTAAATAAGCTGAAGCCTAGTAATGCTTCTCCCATGCCTTTGGTTTTTCTTTGCTAATTGTTCACTTAATCTTGTCTTTTTCAGCCCTGCTCAACATAATAAAGGCTTCCTCTTCTGCTTAAAAAGAGGACGAGTATCTGTCCTTACATATCTGTCTAATCCTCAATGTTTCCTTTATCATCTAGGCAAAGAGGAGCCACATAGCACTGCTGTGTGGTCAGAATAGACAGCCGGTCGAGGAGCCTGGGCTGATGCTATAAAATGTTTTTCGTGGGATAGAGGGACTCTCTAAGGGAAAGCATGGGATAAAGAGGGGGAAAGGGCTTTTGAATCAGCAGTGCTCTTCTTAGTACAATGCGAACACACTGGATGATAGGAAAACAGTTCCAAGAGATGTACGCAACATGAGTGAAAGCTCGGTTGCCAATGGAAGTTCCTCTTCTTGTGAAGGCAATGCTTCCCTGTTCTTCCTTGCTGAGCAATCCCAGTATACTGGGGAATCTTCTCCATTTTTCTGAGGATTCTGGGGTGTCCTCCAGGAAGTGCATCCACTTTGCATAGCCCGTGTGCAGGCCTGGTGAGAATTGTGTGAGTGTAGCCATTTCTTCCAAGCAACTATATCTTTCAGTCAGGTGGACATAAGGAAGTTAAGCAGTCTAGTTGAAAAGGCATTGAAGAGAATTTCAGCTTTACTTGATCTTCTTTCTGAACCAGATAGGGTTTTTTAAAAAGATATCCCAGGGTTGCCACAATATTCCATAGTTTGAAAAGGTCCATGTAGTAAACTTCACAAGGAGCAAAGGACAGATAAGATGTCCCTCGGAATTTGGGGCTGTTTGTTTTATAGAGTGCAGCCAGTGGGAACTTCTTCCATATTCTAGGCCTCCTTCCACATATTTAAATGGGAAACTATGGTTGGCTTGCTTTGCACGACGTGTATGTCCTTCATACCATCTCTGTTTGAGCGAAATCTTAGAAATGTCATTTCATGGTTTTGAAGCATCGTTCCTTATTTCTTTCTTCCTTTTTCTCTTTCTCTCCTCCCCCCTTCCTCTTGTTCTGTGTTTTTGTTTCCTTCTGTTTCAACCAGCACTGGCCTCCTTTCCTCCAGTCTTGGGACCTTTCACGCCACTCCATGCTGCCGCTCCTCACCCTTTTGGGCAGTCTGCTCATACCGCCGGTGTGGACCTAGCCTGGGATAACTCTTGGCCTGGACAGGGTTGGGGGGAGCCATGGGCAGCTCGGCCTCGTCGCTGGCGGCCGAGACGGAGTCGGACCACGGTTTCACTGGCCCAAACTACCCAGGGCACCTGGCTGCCAGTTGGTATAGGAGCAGCCACAGTGGCCCTGTTTGGGAAAGTGCCCTTATCACACGGCAGCACCCGCAGCACGTGATGCCCCGGGCACGAAGGTAAGCAAGCGGCTGAAGGAACGTGGTCCCAAGTCCCCAGCTCTGTTTGAAAACTCCACTCACTTTATCTTAGCCAGTTGGCTCTTTAAAACACAGATCGTTGTATCCATTCACACTTTCTGTGTCTGGTCTGATAGACTCATATGTGCAATATTAAAATTGGCCGCTTGACATACTAATTCAGACTTAACCAGTATTTCCAAGGCCTAAGGACCAAGATTCCCCTTTGGGAGTCAGCATAAATTTTTAAAATCTTGGAAATGCTCTGAAGGCACCACATCTTGGGATCAAAGCAGAGTCAGCCAAAGTTGGGACTTGCATGTTTCAGGGGTTCTATGCAGTATTACAATTTCTGTTCTTGCAGAAGTGACTTTATTCATTCCAGTTTAGGAATCAGGTATCCAAAAACACATTTGTAATACTCTTCTCCTTGAACAACAAAACACACAAGCTGCTGCACAAAAGCTGGCAACTTTGGCAGTAATTTTGGTGGTAGTCAGCCAAAAGATAATCAACATAAAACCTTACAGATCTCTCTGGTAAACTTTCTAAAATTGGATTTATAAAATGTTTTCGAAGATCTCGGTAAAAAGAGCAGTACACCAAAATGTGCCCCACAGTAATAACAACAACAACAACAACAACAACACTTTATTTATATTCTACCCTATCTCCCCAAGGGGACTCAGGGTACACTTACATGGCAAACACAGTACACTTACACGGCAAACATTCAGTGCCATTTTGGATAGACAATACAGAGACAGACAGAACAGAAAGGAGTGTGTTGTGTCAACATCCAGCTTTTTTGTCGCCTTGGAAAGTTGTGCTCGAATCCAGCCGCAGGGGGGTGCTGTTGCTCCATCCTCTATGATGAAGAACCATCAGGACTTCCTCCTTCCTTTTGGTCGCCGGGCATTTTCTGATCTTTTTTCTTTATGGTGTCATAAAATCCCCCCCTCCCCCACTTGTTTTAGCAGTACCTAATTTCTCTAAGAACAGCTTAGGTCAACAATAAGCTGGGCTGACAGTCGGCAGCTCATGCTGACCAGGGCTTCTAACTGGCAACCTTTCAGTTGGTAGATCTTATCATTGCGGGTGATTTGCCAGCTGTGCTAAAGCCCGTCCCTAATGCTAAAGCCCAGTGCTAAAGCCAAGCCCTCAGTTTCCCTTATTACAGTGGCTTAACACTTTTACAAATGGTTAGGCTAGAGGTGTATTAAATGGCAGGTAATTTCCAAATCCTGACAGCATGGGAGATTGCTGATCAACACCAGGTGCTATAGGCTCTATTTCAGAGGAAGGAGCTCACAAAACTGTCTCTCAGTATTCCTTGCCTATGAAAATCTAACAGAATTCTTGGGGGTTATCCTAAGTCAGGAGATGACTAGAAGACACATGCACACAGATTACGTTTTAAAGTGCTGCATCATTTCAGAATGTGTTTCAGATTTTTAGCCGGGCCCAACATGCAATGCTTTTGCAATCCCCTTCCAGCCAGATTGACAGCACCTCTATACATATCACCCCGTATTTGCTTGTTAGTGCCCATTTCATAATGTATGGCATCCTTGCAGCCAATTGCTGTAAAAGTGATGATAGTATCAACAGTGAAAGATTGTCAGGAACTCATGACACCTCCAGCTGTGTGGAGTATATGCAAACACAAACCTACCCTGCCGTGGTTGTGAGTGCACAGTCCCTAGAGTCTCGTGTAGGTGCCAAGAATCCTTTGACATGTGTTGATCGCCTCAGAGACTAGCAGCCAGCCTTGTTGTTGTTGTTTGCAGTCAAGCTCACTTTGACTGTATGATTGAGAGACATCCATGGGCTCCAGTGTCAAAAGCCCTGCTGTGTTTATTTCAACAGTCTTTTTCAAACTCAATGGCATGGCTTCCTTGAATCCATCTGTAATGTCTTTCTCTTTTTCCTTCCACTTTATCAAAAATTCTTGAATTTTTCAGTGCGTCATGTAGTATCCTATTAGGTCCTAAGTACGATTCATGACTTTGAATTTGTCCACCTCTTATAAATGCTGCTTTGGTTACGTTTCAGTACCTCTACTTGCTGTACTATTAACAAAATACTTCCCACTGCTTATAAACTACGATATGGATTGATTAGGGGAACAATGCATTTAATACTTTTTCTGCAGGCTGTGGCCAAAACAGAAGGCAAAGAAGTTTGCTCAATGAGGTGGAGGTTTCCATGTTTATATTGCAAAGAAGGATATACCATCAGTATTAAATGACTGTTATTTATAATTCTTATTTTTTTCAAAAAGCTACATTGGCTCCCAGCTAGTTATCATTGCATCAATAGGTTTATTTATTTATTGTGTCAAAAGCCAATTGGGGGTACAGTTGTAATGAATTTAAAAACACAGACAAAGTTAAAACTTGGCATTATACTAAATGTCTTTTGATCAGTAGCTGGCCACTTGAACTGCCTCTGGTGTTGCTATAAGAAGGTCCTCAATTGTGCATGTGGTGGGGCTCAGACTGCATTGTAATAGGTGGTCTGTGGTTTGGTCTTCTCCACACTCGCATGATATGGACTCCACTTTGTAGCCCCATTTCTTAAGGTTGGCTCTGCATCTCGTGGTGCCAGAGCATAGTCTATTCAGCACCTTCCAAGTCACCCAGTCTTCTGTGCTCCCAGAAGGGAGTTTCCCATCTGGTATCAGCCATGTATTGAGGTTCTGGGTTTTGTCCTGCCACTTTTGAACTCTCACTTGCTGAGATGTTCCTGCAAGTATCTCTGTAGATCTTAGAAAGCTATTTCTTGATATAAGGCATTAGCATGCTATCTGAAATCTGAACAAAGGATGGGCAGGAGATGTCACTGCCTTGGTCCTTTCATTATTGGCTGCTACTTTCCGGTGGATGCAGCATGCAACAAAGCATCAACAGGTGAACTTAAAAAATAGTCAACAGGCACCTGCAGATTTGAGATGAGTTTGTCTTCATGTGTTGTACTCTCTTTTTCTTTTCTTTTTTGTTTCATAATGGAAATGTTTTAAATTGAATTCAATTGTATAAAACACTTCAATTGCATTTGAAGAATAGGTTTTATATATATTTATCTACATGTGTGTTTGATGAGGTCTGTTTTCATTTTGTAAGTTGTTTTAAGTCCCAGCTTTGGGGAAAAGGGAGGGTATAAATAAGGAAATGCAATGAAATACACAAAACAAATAAAATCCTATCCCATATACATGGTGAAAGAGGAATATTGAATCAGTAACATTGCCTCCTTAACTCAGTTTATTTGCATGGAGACAGATCTACAGATTGTATAGAATACTCTCCAATAAAAAGCAGTCGTTGACAGCAATTTGAGTTTAGGGCCGTAATGTTCAGTGATTACCTGGTTGACAACCCATTCCTTGATTCTAATTCCCAGAATCATGGAATGATTGGCTGAGAATTCTGGAGGTGGTTGTTTAGACAAGCTTTAGCTGGAGATTCTGCATTGAGCAATAGGTTTGGTTGCACATGATGGCCCGTGAGACCCCTTCCAACTCTGTGTCATAACTCTTTGTAGCCATGTCATGAGGAACAACTGGAAACATATATTTCTTATGTATGTGCCAAATCTGTTTGCTAGGAAATGGTACAAGTTGAATTGCACCAGGATATTTGGGAAGGAAGGAAAAGACCCCTTTCTCACTGAACAAGGAGATGAGTTATTTATGATCCCAGGAGCAACTGGCGTGTAAGTCTTTATAAAGATAATTCTGGAGGGGCCTTCCAGTCTTGACAAAGAATGTCTTGTGCTGGCAATGCTGCTGCCTGTTAACGACGGAGTGCTTTTGCAAACGAAAAGGCTTCAATTGAATGAACAGTTAGTTGTGTTCCAGGAGTCCATGATTCAATTCTATGCTCCACCCGAGGTGTTTTGGCAAGGCGGAAAGTGACCCAGGCAAGGCAGATTTGCAGATAATTTACTCCTAAAAATAAGCCGCCAGAGCAATTTCCTGCTTTTTATTTAGATGTTGAACTTTGGCGAAGCTCTCAATTGAAAACAGCTGGTTCACACGGATGCCTGGTCCTCCCCCTGCTTCGCCCCGCAATTAGAATGTGCCATCTCAATTGAGGGCCTCCTGTCCTGCATTTAGCCCTTTATGTAGCAGATCGAGAGGTGTGCCACAGCATTTAGCGGTGCGCTAGCTAGGAGAAAGATGGGTGGGTAGCTGTGGCTAGTGGAAGCTGCCATGTTGTGTGCTAAGAATGTGGGAGCCTTTCATTCATGCTGTCTTTTTATAGCTTTTCCATGTTCTGAATGAGCGTGCCTTCCTTTCAGCCTGTGTGAAGGCTGCTGCCTATTTCAGAAGAGCAGCTTGCTTCTGTCTCCCATCCGCCTTGGCTTAGGAAACATTGGCTTTCTGATGTGTGCTTTGATATCTGTTCCTCCCGCTCTTCTTCTCGCCTGTTGCTTCAAACTCTGAAGAATTTGTTGTTTGCATCCTCCATGGGGACGTTCTTCAGGCAAACTAAATCCCACGGTTTAATCCCCACAGATCTTTTTCAGCTTGGTTTTCAAGTGTTTCAAGAATATTTATCCTATCAGAAGCGAATTGAGAAGACAGTTATAATGTATAAAAACCACAAAGTTAAAACATTGGCATTATACTAGATTTCCTTTGACCAGAAGCTGGCCACTTGGAGCACCTCTGATATCGCTGTAAGATGGTCCTCCATTGTGCATGTGGCAGGGCTCAGGTTGCATTGTAGTAGGTGGTCTGTGGTTTGTTCTTCTCCATACTCGCACGTTGTAGACTCCACTTTGTAGCCCCGTTTCTTAAGGTTGGTTCTGCATTTCATGGTGCCAGGGTGCAGCCTCTTCAGTGCCTTCCAAGTCGGCCCATCTTCTGTATGCCCAGGAGGGAGTTTCTCATCTGATCTCAGCCATTGATTGAGGTTCCTGGTTTTAGCCTGCCACATTTGGACTCTCGCATGCTGAGGTGTTCCTCCATATCAAGCAAAAAGTGGATTCTA